CACTGGCAAAGGAAGGTATCAACTGGCGTTTCATTCCCCCTTCAGCCCCCTATTTCGGTGGGCTTTGGGAGGCGGGGGTGAAGTCAATGAAGCGGCACCTCCAGCGAGTTGCTTCACCTCGACGTCTCACCTACGAAGAGTTCGCCACGCTCCTCGTAGCAGTTGAAGCCACTCTCAACAGCCGTCCTCTTGTTCCACCATCAGGCGATCTAGGTGACCTTGACGTACTCACACCCAGTGATTTTTTAATCGGGACTTCTGCCACGTCTTATCCCGAGCCTATCTCTGTCAACGCAAAATTGGATCAAGTCAGTCACTGGGCGCTCATTCAAGCCATGAGAGGACATTTCTGGTCCCGCTGGAGCCGAGAGTATTTAAATACCCTCATCCAGCGGCCCAAGTGGAGGAAGCCTCAGCCTAATCTACAGGTCGGGGATTTTGTCGTTATCGCAGATCCCTCATTACTTCGTCCAGATGGCCGCTGGCCACTTGGTAGGATCACTGCTGTACACCCGGGGCCAGACGGTACGGTTCGTACCGCCACCATCACCACAGCTTCAGGAGAGTACGTTCGACCCGTCGTCAAGATCGCCAGACTGCCCATTCCGAATACAGAAGGCCAGCTCAGCAAAGGAAGCGATTCTGTTTAGAGTCATTCACGGAATGAGGCGGGCGGGATGTTTGGCGGAAATGACGATGGAGAACACTTCATTAAATTTGGCTAAGGAAAGGAGGGCGCTCTCTACGCTTTTTTCCTGCTGAACGCGCTTCGCCTCTGTCCGCGCACTGTTCCTCTTTTGTTTTTTTTTGTTGTTTTAGTTTATGAAAAAAGCCGAAACTACGTCAGTTCTCTTTTACTCTTCGTTGACTACAAAACGACATTACTTCTTTTATTTAATTATTAAAGTAAACTCTCAATTGACCCTGAGCTTTATTTTCATTACCTTCCGATCCAAATGCTACTGTCGAATTGCATTGCGTTTTTCTTTGGCATACTTTACACCAGATGTTATTTTGTAAAGTTATTCAAAATTTTAATATTATGAGGTTCAAAAATATTATAATAAATCAATCGCAATAGTAGTCGAAGTTTTTATATAAATTATTATTATTGTAATACTATAGTAATATAAATTTTGTAGTTTATTTTTTTTAAGTATACAAATTTGCGGAAAATATCGGGTACCTATATGTATTTAGGATTGCAGATTTTACTGCAAGTACAAAAAAATGACTGTTCGACACCTAGCGGCCGTTTTATAAGTGAAATATGATTTGAAATAATTTTATTGTAACTTTTATTATTTAGAAAATTAATGAATGCTAAACCTGTGGATTTTCGCTAGAAAAAATATATTTATAAAATAGATTAAGTTTATCAGCCATTTCGAATGCTCGATATTGATTTTCGATGCAAGAATTTTCAAAAATCAACACCAGATATCTAATCAGCACCCTCAAAAACACAAGAAATATATATTTTCTCATTTTCCATCATTTTTCAGAATTTTTCAATTTTTCGTCCGCCATTTTAAATTTTGGATTTTCAAAAATATCAATAATCGATAACAGAAGTTTTACAACCATACTGATAGTGAAATAAAATTGTTTATTAGGTATACGTTACATACTTTACTCAAAAAAAAAGGAAATCAGTTAAAATAAAAAATAAAATTTTCACTAAGTTTGAGCCGCCATATTGTTTTTGGATCGTAAAATTTTGAAAATCTGTTTGCAGATTCGGAAAGAGCAAGTCTTTTTGCATCGGAAATGGTATTTTGCATGTCGATTTCAAGCGATTCTACCCATTTTACAAGACGATAAACCAATCGGTAGTCTCATGGTCGATTGGGAAGAAATGGGTTAACATGATCCGGAGACCATTCGATAGAATTCGTTATGTGCAAAAAAGTCTTTTCGTGATCGTCGCTTTGTCTTTTCTCGCACACTAACTCTCGTGTCTGAGTTTGTTCGCGTGGACTGTGTCTTCGGTAACTAAGAGGGTGACGGGGAGCCGTCAACTCAGCACTCGTTCATTGTGCCCTCCAAAGCATCTCTTGCCAATGATTTGAACAGTGCTTAAGCGAACCGAAAGGAGCCGCCAGCATATTTGAAAGTACCGCCATTATCTTCTCTCTCTCTCTTGGCTTGCTGCTTCTCTCTCTCTCTCCCTCTCTCTCCCTCGCACATACATACGCTTGCGCCTTATGTATTTTTCTGTTGTACATTCTTGTTCATTATATTTCTGAATTCGACTCTAATGCTATTGGTTATTTACATTTCCCAGCTCGCGTCCTTTCCCTCTAGTGGGTTGCGATCGTCCGCTTTCTTTCTTTCGCGTCTTTCAGCTGCGAAACATAACCACACAACGCTCTTCGCGGGCCCAGGAGCTCGACCGCTCTGCCAAAGGCATAACTGTGCTGCCGAGTCGGACATCGACCGACCCACGTCGAAACCCATTTCATCGTTTAGCGAATGGCGTCATTATTTTTTGTTCAAGAAGTAATCCTTTCTATCCGCGACAGCTAAAGTGAGCAACGTTGACGCTATTCTCGTTATAAGCTTTAAAGATATTAAACTTTCAATTTCAGGTGATTTTTCACAAAATTACACAACCGAAAAATAACATGATTATCATTTAAAAACCGATGTGATATTTGGTATGAATGAGATCTTATTTATTGAGAAAAAATAAACATAATAAAGTTTGTAACGGAGAATCTCGGCTAGGCCGATTTCGTTCGTTTGGCTCTCGCAAATGTCCGTGTGCCGCGCCAAGCTGAGAGTGTGTGCGTGTGGTACGCACACTTATGCTTAGTTTTTATTTACGAGATGCTAAACACGGGTTGAGCTGACGAGTGAAGCGATGGAGATGGCGCAGAAGAAAGGAGAGAGAAAGATAGAGAGAGAGAGAGAGAACGCTTGAATCGCGGAAAATTCGAGAGTCTCTGCTAGGCTAAGAGCAGAGGAAGTCGCGCGCGCGGATCAAACCGAAGGTCACGGTTTTCCGAAGTTGATCCCGCGACCTCGTCGACGTTTGTTCGTTTTCGGAGACACGCCCAGTGTGCGGACGAGTATTAGAGTGTGAAGCTAGGTCGCGCCCAGCCGTGTCTCGAAGGATACCCGGTACCGGTGCGTGTGGGTAACCGGCGAGATGCGCCGGTGCGCGCGCGAGCAGTTTTGGACGTGCTGCAGTACCAAGTAACAGAGAGGCGGCGGAGACAACAACAATCAACGAGCGAGTTACGGATTGAGGCAGTAGCATTGTGGAGCGAACGAGAGGACGAGAAAGAGGAAAACAGCGACGACAACAAACATCAGCGAGACGGTCAGCGAGGAAAACACCAGTGACGTCACACTGCAGAGCGCTCTAGCCGTCAGAGAGGCTGAAGGTCGAGGTCGGTGCCGTGTTTTTCTCTCGTTTCTCTCTCTCTTGCACGTTTGGGCGCCAGCTTATGGGTGGTAGCACGGCAGACCTGCTGGCTACACCGTTGATAGTTTAACGGCGGAAAGTGTTTGTTGGGCATTTGTTGTAACATTTAGTTTTAACAAGGGATTCGGCAGGCTGACCAGCCACCGTTTCACCTTCGTGTTCGCATTTGTTATTGTGCCGCTCGTAGTGTATAAGCGTGAGATCGCCGTCTTGTAACCCATTGTTGACGATTAAAGGATTAATGTGTTAATCCGCTGTTGTGTTTATTCGCCGCAGTATTACTCCTCATCCCGATATTGAATCTGTACGTTTAATGTGTTTATGTTCGACGCTTTATTCAGTCGTGGGAGCGTCTTTTGCTTTCCGAATCCCCGAATAAATAATTTGTGCGGACGGCCGCGAGTAACTCAGACGGGAACGGTTGCTAATTCTCCGTCACAAGTTGTTAGATTTTTTTCATATACCTTTCTCGGACGTTGAAGGTAGCTGGTGTGAAACAGTGGTAATTATAAGTTTTTTTACTGCAGTATAAAAATTATTCTAATAAAGTTATCACCATAAATATTTTTCATCTTGAAGTACTTGGTGAATACTTTCATTTTCTTATTTTTTAATCTCAAAATCTCAATTAAGTGCTCTAGAAAATTCTCTTTACTACAACACCTTATTGTAGAAATAAAGTTATTTTTCACGCTTTTTTGAGTATTTAAGAATAAAATATCATTTTAATGAGCTCATTTTCTTCGTTTCAATCGTTATTTCAAACGAAACAAATGATGAAGTGAAGAATTTTTCAAAATATTCAACTTCAAAATTTTTATTATAGCTTTTACAAATTTTTTTTCTAAATTCTTTTTGGATAAATTTGAAAAAAAATCTTCACTTATTCTGAATTACTGATCTAAAGGTAGAAAACGAACTATTTAATATGATTTTCATTCATTTAAACATTCAATAAAGCGTGATAAATCAAATTTTTTTAAAAATAAGGTGTTACTGTTAAAAGAATTTTTTAATGTCTTTAAAACAGAAAAAATAAAAGCGTTTACTGAATACTTTATTAGATTATTTGTACATCTTTGTAAAGAAAACTTATAATTTTCACTATTTAACAGCAGTCGATCATCTTAATATACCTCACTCACCAGCATAGCGTAGAGAGCAATCCTTCATCCTCTATTAATATTCTTTTAGCTTTTCATACTGTCCGTGCGAAATGTTGAGAATCATCGGGCTATCACGTTTCAAAGTATTTTATCTGTTTTATGGTATATTGACGAAATTCCTCTAAGAGTTAACTAGTGGACATAAAATCTCCCGATTACTGGACCTACAGCTAAAAATTCCAAGTCACCATAGTTGCGGTATCAACGTTGGCGCATACACTTTTTTGTAAAAGATAATTAGTAACCTCTGAGAATCGAATCCAGGTTATCTATATAGGAGTTCTACGCTTTATCCAATGATTTACCGCGAGTCTCAAGTAAACCTTATTTACTCTCTTTTTTAATAAATTTCGAAATAATATTTTAAGTGATATACGATAAAATATATATGTAAAAAATACCTGTTCACGCTGATTGGCTTGTGACCAACATGATATTCCTTGGTCAACTTATAGGAACTATCAGTTAAAGTGCAACCGGGAACTTGCAGATTCCGATAGGAGTTAGGATAATAAAGGCTTTCTTCGGCCCTTCTTTCTAAAAGATTACGTTTGAGCTGTTCGAGAGAAAGTATTCCGCTGGATTGTTGTTTTTGACAGTTTTGTAAACTAAGCTTGTATTTATAGAGATGTTCCTCCTCTGCAAGTAACATTTTAAGCTTTTCCCTCCGCGCATGCAATTGTTCCTTATGCTTACTTCTTTTCAAGTTTTTGCTGTAATTATCCGGCTCTGCTTTTGTCCACGAATTGAATTGCTTAGCAAGTGCAGCCTCACGTTCGAAATATCGTGCATTTTGTTTGTAATAATCTAGCTTCAGATTCTTATCATGTCGCTTCTGCGCTGTTATCTGATACTCGCGTTCTAATACATTATGAGGCCTGAAATTTATTATTCTATTAAAATTCGCTTAGTTGTTTTATATACACTTTATTTTTTTACACAATCTAATACATCATATTACCAACCATCGCGTGAAGTAAATATTGAAATGACAACTTACGTCATTTTGTTATCGAAAATTATAATATTATATAAAAAATATGTTTATATATAGTCGATCAGATGACACGAATCATTACCCTATAAAAAATATTTTGATTATTTTTAAAATAGTATTGCTCTAAAAGTAAACTTACGTATATGTTTTTGAAAATGGTATTTATTTCTTCATTCTTAACGAATTAAGAAAATAATACCCTTGGTTGTAACGAATTCCTAAATAATTCGATACAATTATAATACACTAGTGGAAAAAATTAAAGGATCAAAAAAAAATTCCAAATTTGTTGACGCTTTTTAACTGGCTGTATTTCCCTTGAAAATGGTCGTACTGGAATTTTAAGCAAAGCGTTTTAAAGTTTGAAGTTTCTAGTTTTGAGATCTCATAATCAAAAAATTTTTCTAGCAACATGTTCTGGTCAATCCTCATAAATACCAAAAAAAATTTTTTTATGAAATTTTTTAGTTTTTTTTTAGTCTACGAACTTGGAAAAAATTTTGCTAACTCAGCCACTATATGGATCGGATAACTTGTTTATTCAGCTTTAATTTGCATTTTTGAAAAGTTCAATACCACCACCTCTCTAGATTACGATACTGTTTCATATTCGCAGCCAATCGCGCTTATTCCGAGCCGTATGCATGTCGCTCTACTGCCCGAAATCAATATCGAACACGCGATCTCTCCCCCCACGCGAGTGATCGAGGAGGATGAACTCAGCGATTGTAAGGTCACACTCAGCTGGGGATCACCATCCGATAAAGGCCGACCGGTGTTACGTGTGTGACTCTTCTTAACATCGCAACTAAGGCCTCCGAGTGTTGCCTTTCCTCTGCTTCGATCAAGGCTTTTGCATCGCACTTCAGCATAAACTACCTACCGCTCTAACCAACCAACACCTTCACCTTAACTATTCGAGCTACCTGAGTGCAGGCCTATCTCTTGTCCTGATTAAGGAAGAGCGAAACGAGAATGGAGACCTCTGAAGAGTCGCCTACGATTGATTTCAAGAAAATGACTGAGATAATTATGCAGAAAAGCATAGCATGGTAATTTGTTTCTCACTTGTAAATGTTATTCGTTCGATCATCGTTCTCTGTCTCTACATATAATACAATGAATAATCGATAAAGAACATAATGATATTAGCGAGAAATAAGCGAATGCGCGATTACACGATCGATTGAAAAAGATGGAAGGATGAGCGAGTCTACTTATTGTAACTAATAAAGTCAATAAACACCCAATTAATGCCCCTTTAGTTTCTGACTATGCTCTTCGTTTCATAGTATTTTACTGGTTTCATAAGATAACGGAAAGAAACGTTACACATCATATCTTAATCAAGTCTGATGATCAGGTTTACATATTTTGTATTTTACATACCGTGCACATAAATAACTGATAAAATCACTCCCTCCGACGCCGTTAACCCATTAACGACCAAACTGTTCAATTTTTTTGTCGATTTTCAACGCGTTTTTTTCGGTAATCATAGGCCTAAGAAATTTTTGCAAACACGTATTTGGATGGGAAATTTAACGCTCTTTCAAAATCTTTTTTCAAAAATGCGATTGATTGCGTTATAAAAAAGTTATAGCCAATTAAACAATAAAAACCTGAAAAATTTTGCGAAAAATCAAGTTTGCGATTTTTTTTAGCAATATTACCGCTAAAAAATCATCAAACAAATACGATCAGAGTTGATCACGAACTATAAAAGTATCTCCAGGAATTTTGGTGGAATTTTTGTACCACTTCTTCCAACAAAATGGTGGCAAAATAAAAAAAAATCCATAAAAAATATTTCTCATTTTTTATCTCGGAAACCATTAAGTTTAGATAAAAAATTCATTGAACAAAAAAGTCTTAGAATTAAACGAGAAATACGCCTGAATTTTTTCAGAATTTTCCGAGGCGATTTTTGAATTTTCGGAGAATACGAAAAATCCATTGTTCGAAAATCATCTCCAAAAATTCTGAAAAAATTCAGGCATGTTCCTTGATGAATTCTAAGACTTTCTGTTCTATAAAGTTTTCCTCTAAACTCAATAGTCTTCGAGATAAAAAGTGAGTTAGGTTATAATCCTAGCAGCGTTAATATTTTTGATACAGAATAAAGAACAGCCATTCAACAATAATATAATAATGTTTTGCCTTTTTATGTGTATACAAGTGCAGTTTGTATAGCGTATACTAATATACACATATCAAAAAAGCAATTCATAAAATTGTATGTGAGCTCATTTTTATTACTTACTAGTGTCTTGTTATTTTGAGACCATACAGTAAATCGAATCGAAAAGATTATTTTCGCTTTCTAAAGTCTAGGTTTGACAAGAAGCATTGAAAACTGTAGTAATTATTTTCATTAGGTATTTTTATTATTTTATATAACATGTCGCAAAAACGTAAAAGACGTTCCACTCGTTCCCATGAAATGTACGAACTTGATACTTCAAAGAACACTTACGATGATATAGTTACCCTTCCAAATCCTGACAATTCTGGTTCTGATGGATCAGATTTCGATACTGATTCGGATGATGAAATTTCTAATATAACGTACACAGAAGCTTGTAAAACATATACTGAAACTCAAACTAAATTAGAAAGAACGCATGAACTCCAGTGGATGGAAGGAGAAAAAAAGTATAATGATAATTTGAAAGATAAAATTTTATTGAAAGACTCGGTAAAAAATAAAATACAAGGAATGAAGCCAGTAAAACTATTTGAAACATTTTTCTCAACTGAAATGAAGCAATATATTATAGATGCTTGCAAAAAAAATAATTTTGATTTAAAGTTTAAAGACTTAAATTCATTCGTGGGAATAATCATTTTGACTTCATTCAACAAAAGGAAATCTCAGAGGGATTACTGCTCACGTGATCTCTTTTTATCTTGTAACGTTGTTTCTTCTGCTATGTCACGTAATAAGTTTGAAGAGATCAAATCAAAATTAAAATATTCACAAACGAAAGATAAAAATCCAACTGACTATGCTTGGCGTGTCCGTTCATTATTAAACCTATTTGAAATTAATATTATTAAGTTCGATGTGTGGAGAACTGCTCTTTTCATCGATGAAATGATGGCTAAGTCTTATGCGAGGACAGTTCTAAAACAATTCATTCGAGAAAAACCCATACGATTTGGTCTCAAGTTCTGGGGTCTTTGTACTTCCGATGGTTTTGTATTAGGTCTTGACTTATACTGCGGAAAAAATTCTACAACGGGAAGTAAATTTAGTAAGTGTGCATTAGGTTCTCGCGTTGTCATGAATTTACTAGAAAAGTTTTTTCGTGTTATACCTCCGGGCAAAATATCTATGTTCCATCTTTATTTTGATAATTATTTCACAAGCTTAGATCTCGCTGTGCATTTGAAGAAACTTGGGCTAAAATGTACAGGTGCTATTAGAGAAGATAGAGTCAAAGATAAAAATGTTCTAAATAAAAAAGCTCGAAGAGGTGAGTATGCCGTGAGGCACGATAAGAACAGTGGTATAAATTACATCACTGTGATAAATTCAAAACCAGTTTCGATTATTTCTACTGCTGCATGGGTAACTCCATTATCCTTTTCAAAGAGATACGGTAAGCAAGAAGGAAAAAAAGTTGAAATACCTTTTCCGAGGGCTATTAGCGTCTATAACAGTTTTATGGGTGGCAATGATGTCCACGACGGACATTGTAACAATTTACTTTCGAGTATTCGTTTAAAAAAGTGGACGTGGGTAGTTTTTTTAAGACTAATTCAAGCTTCGATTGTAAATGCTACTGTACTATTCAATGCTGTCAATGATGAGAAAAAAAAGGTTGGAACAAAAGATTTTGCACTTTCAATAGCTAAAAATTACATAACGCAGAGACAATGCAAAAAAGAGAAACACAATATGTCCAAACAAACAAAACTCAAACTTTGTTCTTATTGTCCTGTAAGAACGAGAATTATCTGTGAAAAATGTGATTTATCGATTTGTGTTGAATGTTTCAAAAAAAAAACACTGAAAAATTCGTATTGCAGTGAGAGGCAAGGGGACTCACTCAAATCAAGCACCCCAAAGGAGACAAAATTCTACTACGTCCTCGTCGTAATCTTTGGGTCATGCTAAGAGTAGAACGTTTATTATCTCGAAAACTATTGAGTTTGGAGAGAAAGTTTATGGAACAAAAAGTCTTAGAATTTATCAAGGAACACGCATGAATTTTTTCTGAATTTTCGGAGAGGATTTTCCGTATTCTCCGAAAATTCAAAAATCGCCTCGGAAAATTCTAAAAAAATTCAGGCGTATTTCTCGTTTAATTCTAAGACTTTTTTGTTCAATGAACTTTTTATCTAAACTTAATGGTTTCCGAGATAAAAAATGAGAAATGTTTTTTATGGATTTTTTTTATTTTGCCACTATTTTGTTGGAAGAAGTGGTTCAAAAATTCCAACAAAATTCCTGGAGATACTTTAATAGTCGTGATCACCTCTGATCATATTTGTTTGATGATTTTTTAGCGGTAACATTGCTAAAAAATAATCGCAAACTTGATTTTTCGTAAAATTTTTTAGGTTTTTATTGTTTAATTGGCTATAACTTTTTTATAACGCAATCAGTCGCAATTTTGAAAAAAGATTCTGAAAGAGCGTTAAATTTCCCATCCAAATACGTGTTTGCAAAATTTTCTTAGTCCTATGATTACCGAAAAAAACGCGTTGAAAATCGACAAAAAAATTGAGCAGTTTGGTCGTTAATGGGTTAATGTGGAAAAGGGTTTAAAAGATTAAAAATGATAAATAAAAGTAATAGTAGTGTTCAGACAATACTGTATTAAGCGAATACAAGTTTTATAAATTTAAATTTATCAAATCTCTCCAAAAACG